TCCCTCTTCAAATACTTCAAGGGAAAAAGACATAAGCAATGTTCCCCTGAAGTGTAAACGGGTACAATTTCAGTGATTTCAGAGGACTTTTGTTTTTTCTTAATAAAGGCTTAATACTTGACTAAGTATTGAAAAGTAGGTAAAATAGTGATTGTGATTAGTAGCAAACAGTAATTTGAAAAGGTGTTAAAATTTACAGAAGATGTTAACAAAAATCAACGTATAGCAAGTGGTGATTGATGTTTAGGTCTTTCCTCTAATTGCTGCCCAATCATTCTCAGTTTTTTCCCCTCCAACTTGAGAGATTTTTCTTCCCTTCTTTCAATTCCCTCTTACTAAAGGAGGGAAGAAAAAAAGGGTCTCTCCTGTTTCAGTGAGGTACCTCCCAAAGGAGGTATTCCAAGACTGGTTGTGAGAAGAAGCAAATGTGTGAGACTTAGTTGGAAGCATCAATATCCAGGCAGCTGTGCAAAGGTCTCAAGTAACGGGTTGAAAGTCTGCCAAATCATATCTGAATTGAGCGATGAGCATTTTAAACACTTTCCACTACAAAGGTTCTGCATAGTTGCATTGTAAAGACGACACATTAGTGTATGAATACATCAGAAGTAAATAACTGTTAAGATTAACTACTCCTTTTGATGTTTTGTTGTCATGTCTTGTACAGTTTTTTTTAAAGCAGAAGGAAACATTGATGGCTTTAAAGTTGAGTTTGCGCACGTGTTTGGGGGCAAGCGTGTGGCACTTGAAAGCTGCTCATACAAGAACATCAATTCTGTATAACTCGGGTGCAGCCCGGGGAAGAGGCTGTAGGTGCTTACTGAGAGCATCTTGTAGAAGGAGCAGCGGCGACGAGATGGTGATGCTCGGGAGAGGGAACTTTGGGGTCTGAACTTCGATATCCAGAAGTAGCAAAGTGTAGCAGTTTCTCACTTGCAATTTCCTGAAGCTTGAAGTGTGAAATTTTACAATATTGATTTTTTTTTTTTTTTTTTTTTTTTTTTTTTTTTAGAATGTTAGGGGGACAGGGGAGAAGGTGTTAAGCTATCTGTTTCTGTACTGCAGAAGACTGGTGCTATTTTACTTCAACTCTTTTTTTCATTTCTTCTGTGTATATACCTTCAAATTTGCAAGAAAAGTTGGAAACATTAACTACAATTGAAAGATACAAGATCTGTTTTATATTGTCTTTATTTATAACTTTAAACTTTCTACAAGTTCATTTTATAACATTCTGGAAAATATTAGTTTTACGAGTATGTTAGAATTTAAGCAGAATGCCAAGTTTTGCTTCCTTTCTGTGTACTGAATAGTTCTCTTAACCACATTTAAGTCAACCTTAACCACTTCTTCCAATTTTGTCTCCTTTTTATAAAATAAAAAGACAAATCTCTTGCGTTACCGTGCTTTCTGAGCTTTCTTGAGTTTAATTCGCCTAGTAGGAGTTAAATCGGAATGTGTTCATTTCATTGAGCATTTAAGAGTTAATGGTTGCGAGGTGTCTCTTTTGGTAAGAGCGGTAACTTTGGTTTCTACGCTGAAGTTCAAGAGATGCTTGTTGAGGCTCCAGCTGGCCCTGGAAGTCACCCTAATTTAAACCCTACTTTCTTTGCGTTAGTTTACGGGTGACTTTTTGTATTTCAACAGAATCAGTTCACAACCAGAGAAAGATGTTACTTGGGTCTGGGGGAAGGAAACAAGTTTAAAAGCTCGGTAATTTAGCACAGTACAGGTACCAGTGCTAAATAACTGCTGCATATAAATTAAAACGTTGTACTGTCCCTTTAAGATGACCGGGCTGACTTCATGGGGGGCCAGTGCCTGCGGCCACAGTACGCCATTTCTGGTTGCCTGTCAAACTTTGATGGGCGGCACCTCCAAGGCGCTGTTGCGCGGCGATACACGTAAAAAAACGGTTATTTTTTTAGGCAGCAACTTCCCCAAAAAGCTGCTTTCCCTTCTTCCTGGCTGCGCATGCGCGCCCGCCGGGCGGAAGCAGCCGGGGAGCGCAAGCCTC